GGGTTAAAACACCTCGACGACCTGTATATCAGTGCTATTATTATTATACTACTAAAGAATAAGAACACCTCCTGCATCATCATTATTGTCTTCCTCTTGTTGGATGGGCGATGGTCCATGCGTGTCAACGATCGGCGACGCTTAAAGATCGCATTCCAGTCACACAATCGGGGTCCCTCCTGCCTTGTTAGTATACGGGACCCGTTTGAACCAATTTTGCTTGGAAGAGCCAATCAATCATCCTTGCATTCGTCCAGTGGACACGACGGCACTGCGCAGCGCCAAGTAGAGTGCTCCGATAAGCAGTGAAGTCAACCAACGCTTCGACCATCCATCAGGCCAAAAAGCCAGCTCGTCTCGACGACTTGCCGATCTTCTACGCGCTGCCTCCTCGTGTTCGATCCATTTTTCATACCGAGCAACATTCCAATCACGCGGGCTGTGCTGGACCACTAACGCAACCAAGGGTCCGCCAGGCGTGCAAGGTGGTCGACGAATTGATGACGTGGCAGCGCCTCGTGGCAGCAGCGCTTGTGAGGGTTACATGCAATTAGACTCTTCTTTATTGGATTCATTTTTACTTCTTGCCGTCGTAGGCCTGGAGAAGACCGACGTAGGCGAGGCCCGAGTCGGCGCACGCCGCAAGGATCGCGTACTTGCCGCCTTCCTTGACGAGCTTGTTCGAGGCCGTGTTGACGAGGCGCGAGCCCGTGGCACCAAAGGGGTGGCCGAGCGCGAGCGAGCCGCCCCACGTGTTGAGCTTCGACTTGTCGACCTTGCCGACCGCGGCCGGCCAGCCAAACTCCGTCTTGCAGAACTCTTCGTCCGCGAGCGCGTTCAAGTTGGCCAAGACCTGGCCAGCAAACGCCTCGTGGATCTCAAAGTGGTCAATGTCCGAGAGCTGCAAGTTGTGCTTCTTCAAGACCTTGGCGATACCGTAGGCCGGGCCGAGGAGGAGCGAGTCGAACGGGTCGACGCCGACAAAGGTCGAGTCGAGGATGATCGACTTGGGCGTGTAGCCGAGCTCGAGGGCCTTGGTCTCCGACATGATGAGCGTCGCGGCCGAGCCGTCCGTCAAGAACGACGAGTTACCGGCCGTGTGCGTGCCGTGGGGCTTGACAAAGGCGGGCTTGAGCGACGTGAGCTTCTCAATCGACGTGTTGGGGTTGATGCCGTTCTCGGCCGTCGAGCCCTTGTACGGGATGATCTCGCCCTCGTACTTGCCGTCGGCGTGAGCCTTGGCAGCGTTCAGGTGGCTCTGGATGCTGAGCTCGTCCATCTCCTGGCGGGTGACACCAAAGCGCGCGGCGAGGCGGTCGCTCGAGTTACCCATGACCTCGTTCGTGTGGAAGTTCTTGATGGCAGGCGCCTCGGGCGTAAAGTCGGCGACCTTCAAACCCTTGAGGAGCTTGAGGATGCCGGCCGGGCCACCCTTCATGGCCTTGGCCGCGCCAATCATGCGCTTGCGCAACGGGCGAGCAAACCGGATCGGGACGTCCGAGAACGTCTCGACACCGCCGGCGACAATGATATCCATGCCACCGGCCACAATCTTGTCGGCGGCCTGCGAGATGGCCTGGCTCGACGAGATGCACGCCTGCGTGACCGTGTGCGCGGGGATGTGCTTGGGGATGCCAGCGCCGAGCGCGGCTCACGCGCAATGTTGCTCGTGCGCACTTCCTGGATGACCGTGCCGCAAATGACATAGTCCACGTCGGCCGGGTTGAGCGCCGTCTTGTTGAGGAGGCCCTTGATCGACTCGCGCATGAGGTCGTACGCCATCATGTCCTCGTAGACCGTGCTCGTCTTGTGGAACGGAAGGCGGACGCCATCGACGACGACGGCGCGGCGCGCAGTGCTAAAGTTGCGGGCAAGAACGCGGTGCATCTTGGAGCGACGGCGACGATTGCAATGTGTGGCTCGAGGAGATCTCTCGGCTTGTTTAGAAAACGACCCGATTGTTTGCTCAACAACCTTGAAGTTCCAGCAAGTGCGCCTGCCTACAAACCGCTAGATACGGCCTAAGTGCGGGTCAACTCGGATCGTGACACGTGCTGGGTCAGGTCACGTGCGACTTCAACTTGGCTTGCTGCATCGCCAGGACGCCATGTGCATGGCCACGCACCATGCGGGCTCCGACATGAACTCTTATCGAGGTAGACGCATGCGGATGTGCATGCAGGAATGGAAACTGCGCGGATGACGGACACTGCCAGAACTACTTGGGTGCCACCCACATGCACTGTACGAGGAGGTTGCCGGACCGAATCAACGAGCTCGACGATGCGCTGTTGTGGTCAGCGACACCGCGGTAGGATTGGCTACGTCGATGGCGCAAGCGTGACGGCGAACGGTCATCTTGGACGCATGCACTCAATCGACTCACTACTTACTCGACTAACTACGGTACTTCTATGTCGTGTTAGATCGCCGCGGGCGCGCTCCCAATGAACGACGCGAGGTCCGAGACGGTTTTGGGGATCGACTGTGTGAGGATATCGATCCCGGATTCCGTGATCTAGTGCAAGGAGTTAAAACCGATCACAGCGCAGTCGCGTACCAAGACGTCGTCTTCGATGCGGATGCCAATGCCGCGGTATGCAGCCGGAATGCTCTCGTCGTTCTGCGGGAGGTAGATACCCGGCTCGATCGTGATGATCATGCCGGGCTGGAGCGGGTGCGACCGCGCGTACGTTGGCGTGTCATGCACGTCCATGCCCAAGTAGTGGCCCAAGTGCGTCGGGTTGTACTTGCGGAAGGCCATGTCGAGGGCCGAGGAGCCTTTCGCCAAGTGCCGCGGCAGAATGCCAAACTCTTGCATGCCGTCCACGAGCAATCCGACCGAGAAGAGGTGGAGTTCGTCGAGCGACAAGGACTCTTTGTGCTCCATCTTGGTGCGCAGGCGCTACGTGGCCCATGAGGAACCGGCGTCAGCACCGTATCGACGCACCTCCAAGCACTGCAGCTGGACGTCGAGGATGAGCGCATACAAGTCCAGTTGCGGCGGCGTGAAGCGACCTGTCGTCGGCCACGTGCGCGTGATGTCGCTGACGTAGTTGCCCGTGACTTCGCAGCCCGAGTCCATCAGGACAAGTTCGTCGGGCTGGAGTACACCTCGCTTGGCGAGGTAGTGGATCACTGCGCCATTGCTGCCTGCGCCGACAACACACGGGAATGCATTGCGCAGCGAGCCTTGACGCCGGCAGTAGCCCTCGAACGTCCCCGCGAGGCCAACCTCGAGCTGCCCCGGCGCCGACTGCGCCATGAGGTTCGCGAATGCACCGGCGCCAATGTTGCACGCATGGCGCATCTTAGCGACTTCGGTCGGCGACTTGAAGACGCGCAGCATGTCGATGAGGCTGTCGGCCATCTGGATGCTGTGCGTCGCTTGCAGCGGCCGGGTCGCGTTCAAGAAGCGAGACGGGTACTTGTTCTGGACCGCGCGCGTGATGCAGATCTGCGTCGCAGGCGACACAAGCGTCGGGAGCTTGGCCTCAAACTGGTCGAGTGTGAACGCGTCGTCCGCACCATACGACGCCTTGGCCGACGGCACGTCGACACGCGGCCCGTCCCACTGCTCGCTAGGCGCATGCGCATGAGGCATCGATTTCCATGGCGCGCGCATGATACTACCTGTGGGCGTCGCGCGGGCGTACAAACATGACAAAGCTCGTGGCGTCGGCCGCGTCCTTCTTGAGGACCGCGATCGCCTCGGGTTCCTCGAGGCCCGTCAAGTAGAGAAAGTGCGAGTCCTGGCGAAAGTCGTACGGGATGTCATGGGCCATGTACTTTTCCTCGGCCGCATTGAGCTAGCCATCGGCCCATGAGATATAGAAGACGATGGTATCATAGGAAAGGTACGATGAGGATCGAGTCGCGGGGCATGAGCTCAAAGGCGCGCTGGCGCCGGGCCTCGAACTCGCTCGCGTGGATGCCAGGGACGAGCTCGCCTTGCCCGAGCGCGAACGGGCTCGTCGAGAGCTGGCGACCGGCCGCGCGGACGCGCGAGAGCAGGCGCGGGGCTTGGAACGCCATCGTCGTCGTCCGCTGCAAAATGGTGCGATTGGCGAATTCTGAGTATAATGTCTCGAAGGTTTTCCAATGTATGCATTCATAGGGGTTTCCGACTTCAACTGCGAGGACCGAGGTCTCACATCCCGGTTGCACGCCCAGGCGACTGCCCTGTCAATCTTTTCTACGTGGTATATCTGCGGAGCACTTGGATGACGTTCGGCTGCCGTTGAACTGGCGATTGCAACCGACAGCGTCACCAGGACGCCACAGATTTGGTTGCGCCCCGGCCTCGTCGCTTCCGTGGCGACGGTCGATGGCCGAGGCGCAGTGGGAAATCACCGACTGCGACGCTGGCCTCGACTTGGTGGTATCAGACAGAAACACGTACTACATTGTGACCAGTACCAAGTCAACTAGCTTGGCGTTTGTATGGCCCGTGTCGCCCGTCTCCTCCATACAAACATCAAGTATACAAAATACTCCAACGGGTTCCAGCTGTTT